TGCACCCTTCATGTGCCCCCGCCTTTTCTCTCAATTTGTCACACCATTGGGAACATCGAATAGAAATTTCATTGGATTTTAACTGACTTAACCCCTTTAGCAATCCTTGAATGGTTCACTTGCAGAGATAGTGACAAACCCTGGGTTTAGGGAGGGGAGAAGGAGCTTTTTGGCAGACCTGCATCAGGGCACAAATTTTAATGGCAAAAGATTTTCGCTGCTTTTAGTCTAGAAATGAAAAGACCGAAATGAGGCATTTTTCAATGCAAATGGAAGAAGATGGAAAATCCCATCTTTGGTCAAGGGGCATGTAGACTGAAGATTTTCTTTCTTCTTGTTGTTCACAACAGGCTTCATCTTGATTTTGGTTCATCTTAAATCAGCTGATAAATACTGCTCAGTTTGGTCACAATCTCGTGTGTGTGTATCCAGGAAAAAATATTTTACAATTTATTCTCGAAACTAAAACACTCCCATTCAGCTGCTCTGATAGAGAAGGAGCATTAAACACTGTTGGTTTTATAAAGCTTCTCAGATATCATCCTTATGAGGGAATTCTACTCATAAGTGCAGGTTATCCATGTGTGGTTTTTGACAGGGGATTAGTAAAAAGAGCTGCAATTCTGTAATGGGATATCACTGATTTGTTTATTTATTTTTTTGAGTGAATAAATGTTATCAGGGTTAAGTAAGATATTTGTTTAACTAACGAACCAGGAAAATGTCTGGGATTTTAAAACGTCAGGACACAAAGCTGTCTGTGATAGTAGACAATGATGCTGAGGGATCATGCTGAATCTCCTGAGAGAGAGGTGTTGTGGCTTACTTACTTGGGACATTATGGACTGAAGTTGATGATGAAAAGGGTGGTGATTATAGACTTTCAGGGCAGTTAAAAAAAAAAAATAGTTTGTGAAATGTTTGTGCAGATAAGAGAAGCATCTAAAAGAAGGCCTGGAGATTGATTAGGGGGATTTGAATCATTCAGATATTGATTGGAATTATATCCATGGCAAAATCTAAAGAAGGCTTTTAGAAATACACTTGTGTAGGACTGCTTTATAATGCAATTTGTTGAATGGTCAATATAGCCAGAGGATATTGTGGACCTAATCTTTGGAAATGAACTAAGTGCTTTATGATTTAATAAGGTTGGAAAATTGGCACATCTCAGAGCCAGTAAACCTTCTAGTGATGTCTTCCAATTTGAAATACTTGTTAAGAGAGAGCACTAAATGAAGCCACACAAAAGTGACTGTGAGGGACTGGGAAATGCCCCAAGGTGCTTGATTAGGATTTGTCAATTTGCAGCACAATGGACAGGATGATGGTTTGGAGGGATTGCAACTGATGTTCACTTCAGCTGTACCAAAATAAGGACACGAGTAAAGGGCACTAGATACCATTGTGGGGAACCGGCTTAAGGCAGGATGTAGGCAACGGTTGAGAGGCTTTAAATACACAATTGACTGTACAAACAAATCACTTTAAAGATCATTATGAGCAAATATGAATACTGAGCATGAAGAGCTGTGTGGCGTATTTTAACCCAGGGTCAAGGGTTTTTCAAATACATTGAAATAGTATTCAATGTATTTGAATTGAACTAGTAGGTATGGAGGAGAACTGATTTGTGGGATTGTGGATACAAAACCAAAGAAAGAGACTGAGGAAACAGTGAGGGGTTTTTTGAACACTTAATTTGTTTCTGTCTTTAAAGAGAAGCAGGAAAAAATATACGTGGAGCAGTCCTGGAGAGGGCTATGTTAATTTCCCATTCGGAGAGGGGCAAGTTAAGACAAGTGTAGAGACTGAATAGCAATGGAAATGATTATCAAAAGACAGGATGCTCTTCAGGGGGAAAAGAAAATAATTGTCCTTCCCTGCAGAAGTAACAAAAGCAGAAAACGAAGCCCCATCACTGAACTGGCTTAGTGTTTCTGCGAGAAGTCTGATTGCTAAGGACTGGGAAACGACACACAAAGAGGCTTTGTTGAATTGAAGTGCCATGAAATACAGGGATAGACTTTGGTCATGAGGATACATGCAGCTCCAATCCGGGGTGGGCTGAGGAGCGCCACTCCCCAGCATTTCAAGGAAGAAACTATGATGTGTTTAAGCTTCATTTCCCTCCAGGGTTTGCCTTTGTTTCTGGGGCAGTAGTCTGTTGCTGGTCTGTATTGCTCATCTTTCCTTATGCTGGCTCAGCTTTGATATCTAGTAAACAGGGTGTGTGTGTGTGTGTGTGTGGTCAAGGCGCTGCCAAGTCTCAGCTCCTCGCCCCCCTTGTTCCAAGGAGGGAGCAAATAAGTGTGGAACCTTGCTTGTTCCCATGCGCCGACTGTCTTATATAATGGTGCAAAGTGAACTCTTATTCCCCTGTTTGCAGTTGTATCTCAGCTCACTAAGAAACAAGAGATCACTGGGCTTCATATCAGTTATGTTTGTACTTGTGTGTGTGTGTGTGTGGGGTGGGGTGGGGTGGGGGATATTACAAGCAGTTCTGTAGGGTCCTAAAGAAGGACCACCCCAGGGCACATCCTTTAATTAGTATCTGCATAGTTTTGGATTGGAGCCTTGCCTTATCTAATTTGTTTTAAGACTTCTGTTGTAAAGCAAGGAAATACATTGGAGGTTGTTGCTAGTTTTATCAAAATTGATCAGACGGTGAGATCTTTTTGGAAGGGACTGTGTCTGTCTTATGACTGTCGAGTGTCTAGCACTTATGCAGTACAAATAACACTTGAAAGAGAGAATTCCTTATAAGGTTAAAAAACAGGACTAGCAATGGACTGTAATTAGATTTTTAAAGAGGATATTTGAATATGAGATGCTTATACAGTACAGATCTATGTTTTGGGTGGCAACTTCATAAGCAAATGGTAAAGCTTGACTAATTTTACCTCAACTGGAAATGAGACATTAGTGAGGACTGTATTCAGATGGGGTTGGGTTCCTTAAGTGCCTGGGTAGGGTGCTAGAAAATGCAGCTGAACTTCCAGTACCATAAAGTAATGTTAATGCAGGGTCAGACTCCTGTAAACACTGAGATCTCAACTCCCCAAAATCTTTTTGATCTCATAATTGTCACAGAAACCATATGAAAACATCCAGCTATAAAAGAGAGGTGATATTGTCACATACATAGGACAAGGTCCTTTCCTGTTCTGGATACTTTGCACCTCTCAAAAGCCATTTCTAATTGGACAGCTAAAATTTCTCCAGTTGGCAGAAGCGGCTCCTGTGTCAAGTAGCCCCTCCACTTGACCCTGGCGTAAGGAGTATGTCAGTGCCTGTCAGGTGCAGTGTGTAGTTTGCATGCATCCTGCCAGTTCTCAGTTGGTGTATGGTCCCTTGGGGGTAATAGCCAGGTGACCTGTCATTTCAAGATGCCTTGAAAGAATTCGGGAGTTAATTATAAACACCTTGACTGCTACTTCCTCCACAGATTTTTAACTCCGACACGATCTGCTTTCAGTCTGGAAGACGATGCTTCTTGTTTACAGCCTGCAGATCCTGGAATCCACAGTAAGAATTTTTCCAGTCCAGTGTTTCCTGGAACCACTTCCGTTTGCTTGCACTAGCCCTTCTTAAATGTTATGTATATGTTACAGAGGCTATATCTTTTATTTGTCAGATATAAAAGGCTGGCTGGCTATGCAGAAGTTTTGAAATTTCTAATACATTTCATACCTCCTACCTGACATTTTTTCTTTTAATCTTTGGCTAGTGGAAATATGTGTTTGTTTGTTTTTTTACTGGAGTAATGGACCAAACTAGGGAGTATGTATTGGACGGAAGTCATGCAGTGTTGATCAGGAGAAGCATCTGGGGGGAGGATTGTTGCAGAAAACTACCTGAAGCCATCAGCCTGGTTTATGACTGCAGTTAGTTTTTCTGTTCGTTAGCTTGTTTTTTTAAGGGTAAAATGAATATTGGCAGGATTCTGCAGAAGATCTGAACATTAATGAAAATGTAAGGCTGTTAATGTGTAAGACACTGCTTATTTTCTGTTTTGGAGCTCTGTGTTCAAGCTTGGTCATGCCCATCTCCCCCCTGGAAAGATGCAATTGCTTTGGAAAAGTTATAACAAAAAGTAATCAGCACGATTCTGACCCTTAAGAATCTCTCTCATGAGGAAGAGATGCAGTAGAGTCTTGATTTTTTTTTTTTTTTTTTTTTAAATGAAGTAATCCCTAATTACATGTGGCACGATGCCCTCCTGCCACTTTGTTGAAATGACAGTCAGCAAAAAAGATAAACATTTAAATGTTTTACAGGGTACATTTCATCACCTCCACCTTCATTACTTGGAACTAAAACTGTCCTTGGCTTTTGGGATGGCGATAAAATGTGCCTCATAGTTGATCCAAATACAAAGAATGACGCATAACGGAAACAAATGGAGCCTCCACAATATTCTAATATAATAAAAGCTGTAGCACTTCCAGCTGTGTCTGTCTGTTCACATGTGCGGCCTGGAGCCTTATTGACAGACAGACACACAAGCAAGGCAGAGGCGGTGGGGACCAAGGTGTACTCTGCCGCACGGGGAGTGTGGTGGCAGGGGGCGTGGCTTGTGGCCCTGCAGGGGCATGGCTTGCAGCCCTGTTGGGGGATATGGCGTGTGGCCTCGGTGCCGCGGGGAGAGGTCACGGGGTGTGCGGGCAGCACCCACTAGCTGCAGCAAATGGCTGCAGGGCAGGGCACGCTCTCCACACCTGAACCCCGCATGACACCCTGCAGCCGTGCCCCCCCCCCCCCCCCGGGGGGGGCCCGCCCCGCGCAC